TAACAAGACAACAAGCAGATTTGTTGCATAAAATATGTAAATATTAGTAACAGAAAGTGCCATATGATATCTCGTGTTTGGATGGTTTCCGATCACCTATCCACTCTGCCCCCTCAGTCTCTAGGCTAAGGCCCTATCGTCAACAGGTACTGTCTGCCTGGGCTGTGCTAAAGCAGAGCTCCTGAGTCGGCATCTCTGCTCCTGCCCCAAGGAAGCTTAGCAAACCCACCTGCTTTTGATTTTGCTTCAAATTTATCAGTAAAATTTATTTTGACCATATTCTTGCCCACCCTTTATTTCCACTATCTGTGTGTCTTGTAGCAAACAAGCATCCCTCAAGTACAACTGCCATTTAAATAATAATATCAAAAATATCTAAAGGATCGGTAATCAGCAATCATGTCAAAGCAGCTATGCCGGAAATGTACCATAAGTTCAGTGAGAAACTTAATGATAAAAATTCAAGGTTAGAAAATAAAAGAAGAAAATCACAAAATCCAACCATGAGAAGTGCTTGCTAAAAAGGCATTTATTTTAAGGCTTTCAAAAAGAGTCTTTCATTTTTAAGAGAGAAAAAATTTGGCTATCATCTATGTGTGTACCTGTATGTGAGAGAGAGAGAGAGAGAGAGAGAGAGAGAGAAATAGAGAAAGAAAGAATTGAAAGGTGAGGTAATTTTTGGACTTAAAGTCTTCCACGTAGTAACCCAAAATAATTTTTAAGCTCAATTGATTCTATTAAAACATGAGCTCTTATATATCCCAAAAGAAAGTGACAATCATATTAATTTTTTTTTAACTGAAGGAAAAAATTGCACTATTCCTGTGCCATTTTTTTTATTCTGGTTTATCAATGATTCAAGATAAAAAAGCAGATATGCGGATTAATGAAGTCCTTTGATGAGTAGCATACGTCAATATTTCACACAAATGTCTGCAGAACAATTTCTCTCAATCAAAAATTTGTAAATCAATTTAAATTCCTGGTAATTAAATAAATGTATTAGCTCTACAACAATATATGTGGTACTTTATAAAAGCAATATGTGAAATTTCTAATCAAGAATTTATGGATCAAAGGCAAAACAGCAAACATTTCTATTAAACCAAAGTTCTAAGGACAAACTAGTAAGTATGAAACATAAAAGCCTGCAAATGTTTCAAATACACCTAGCAGTTCTGCTGATTTTGGGCCATTAAAGCTGATTACTTAATTAGGCAATTATTCAAGGCATCTAAACACTTACAGACAAAAACAGGGAATCATGAGCATAGCAAGTCCTCACCTTGAGATGAAATTCTAAAAAATATTAAGTTCCACTTAAACTTTTGGGATCTGTCCCCACGCAAAAACTAAGCAAAATATTAAATTCTACAATGTGACAACCTGAAGCTCAAGAAAAAAACAATTCACCTATAATGATATTACCCATCTGTCTTTTCAGTTGGCTAATATTTTAAACTATCTTAGAAATGTCAAGTTATAATACAGATCATCTCTATAGATTCTTGGAAGTACTGCTTTTCTCCACTCTGGTAATACACTTGTATTATCTAAAAGAAAGTAATGAAATTCCTGTTCTCTTGTATGTCTAGCAGAAGTACCTGCCTACAGAAAAACATTTTCAAAGTTCCTGCCTAAAATGAATAAAAACAACAAAAAAGAATTTCTATTCATGGGAAGAAAACCCAGTCACAGTAGTCTTTAATATAACTAAAGGAAGAATCTCCATTTTCATTCAGAAGATGTAAGAGACAATTTTAAGAACCTCACTGATTCGGCATAGTCAAGAAAAAGAAGAATATATTCTCTGTTTTCAAAAAAAGGCGGTTCCTCAAATAACTCCAAAGAGACCCTATATACTGTCTTTTTAGGAAAGGAGAAAAGCAAGTCCACTTACACATACAGCTTCCAAACAGAAGTCCTACCCTCTTCCAGGAAAACAACAATGAGACTTTATTACCCTGCTATGATCCTTTCATTTCAGACATGATTAATTAGCAATATTACACTTCCCAAAACTCCCACCACACTCTTTGTGGTCTGTCAGCCTAGATGTTGATAGATCCATATGAAATAGCAAGTTGCCACAAGCAGTATGAGACAAGCCTCCAAAAACTCCATTTCAAATAAGAAACATTTCTCTCCTCTCTTAGCCTTCCACCATGAAGCAGGCTGCTTGCTTTTAACTGCTTTCACAGAAAAAAAAAAAAAGATTTAATCTGGTCATTTTCTTAACAGTACCTTTTAAAATTTGAATAATGCATGTAACATATTCAGTATTCAAGAATACATGACATGTTTAATATGTTATGTACCAAATTTTAAAGCTGAAATTCTGAAAGAATTGAGTCCATGTAGTTTGTATTGATAACCATCCCACATGCCCAATTAATAAACAATAGACATGATGGAGCAAGCATGCTTTGGGAAATGGTTTTCATAGGAAAAAAAATGTTTCTTCCCCAAATAAAAGTTAGTATGTCACACATATAATGAAGACAGGAAACAGAAATAAAGGACTAAAAGGACAGAGGGAAGAGGGCAACTCTAAAATTGAATGAATGAAAACTCTGACTCTCTCTGCATATTGTTTCAAAACACTCTTCCAAAATAATTTTCCCTTTAATACAATCTATTTTCTAAATGTCCATATGAAATCAAGAAGCCAGCCATAACTGAATGCCCTCTAAATACATATTTTAGCAACAATTCATAAAGGTGGGGGTTTCCCCTTCAACCTTTCAACTATTATGTCCAAAAAACTTCACACACAGTACAATACTAATAAGTAGATTTTGTGGGTTCCAGGAAACTTTTTTTTTTAATCTATTCTGGTCATAATATCCTTGCTCTTTTTCTGTTGTATTAAATAAATTTAGGATCAAAAACATCAAAGCAGCTTCCACCTCGGACCTAACTTCTAGAGAATCATTGTGACAAGGCAGTCCCTGATGGATGTTTCTCTTGATAAACGACTTGTTCAAAAGAGACATTGTAGCTTTCATTTCCTGACCACAACACACTTTTAATTTGCAACAGCAGAGCTGCCAAAGTGTGAGCACTTGCCCACTTGCCAGCCTTTCAGGTTTGTAGCTCGGGTTCCTTTAAGCTACACGTTTGAAATAAACAAAATCTAAAAATAATCAAGAGTCACAGAATTACATAATAGGAGCCACTAATGCCACTTTATACATACACACAGGTGTCTACTTTATAAATATAGAGAGAGAAACTTTTCCTCCCCAGAATTATAGTGTATGGTTACAGGGCTCCTGAGTCCACATCATTTGCAAAACAGGCATTTAAACGCACGGGGCAACAAATTCTGTGACTATTATTTAATAGTAAGCAGAGACGGGAGGGGAGGCAGTGTACGTACTTAAATCTGCTATTTAAATGTCATGAATTATAGGACTGCCTATCCCCTGTTTTTTACATATTATTGCAATGATCACTATTACTACTACCCAGAAATCGTATTTAAGTATCGATACGGTGAACAGTCAAACCATCCAATTTCTGCTCTCAGCACATTGTCCGAGCTCCGATTTAAAATTTATAAATGTAATATCCTCCTCATCACAGGCAGCAGCCCAATCTGCTCTGAATATATATTACAGCTTTAACATCACAGAGGGAAATCGCCCATCTGGCAATCCCATTCGCTCCAACAGCTCCGGGGGAAAAAAAGCTGTGCTCTCTCCTCCTTAAAACATTTCTCAGGGCAAATTATGTGCATCTAAAATAAACAGTCTTCTTATTGATCGTTTCAAAGTCAACAAGTTCCAAATGCAAAATTCAAATCCTTCCTATCATGTAAGAGCGCTGTGTGTTTAGCTCAACAGTCACCAGAGTCCAGCCAGAAGTGTGTGTCGGGCAACGGCTCTTGCAGTCTCTTTTCTTGTATTCACGTTTGTGTTATGAGAGAGCAGAGACCACGGCCACACTACAGACCCCTGGCAGCTTTGCCCCACTGCTATTTCTTTCTTTCATATTCTCTCTTCAGGATGGATGCATGGTGGTGGGGTAAATGTAATAACAATAACACGCAAAAACAGTTAAAAGTGGACATACCCTTTGGTTATGCAAAATACTTTTAACATCTTTTTGCTGTTGTAGCAACCTCTTAGTCTTAATTGAATATATCACAAAAGTGTACACACGGCATGGACACAAGAGCTATTGAAAACCCCGTCTCACTCCATTTATCTGACCATTTTTTTTTTTTTTTTTTGGAAAAAAAGAGGAAAGAGCGATTTTAAACAAATCAATTTCAGTGCCTGATTATTTAATTCTGTCACAGGTTAAAAGTAAAAAGCATTGACAGGCAGACAAGTGAATGGCAAAGGGGGAAAAAAAACTATCACTTTTCCTTAAAAGGCATTAAGGACTTTAAGCAATCAAAATATATATTTTTATTTTCATGTAAAAGATATCCCTTCACTCACTTACCCAATAAAACCACACTCAGAACAACCGATTACTCCACATAGTGCAATCATGGAGAGAGCTGATAGTCAAATTACATTAACAGATTGAGGGGAAAGAAAAAATCACCCAGTTCTGTGTGTGTACACATATATATATATATATATATACTTTCATTAGTAAGCAGTCTGTCCCCACACTCCCGCCCTCTCCTCTCTCCACCCTGCCCCCTCCCCCCAAAACACCCCACTCTGAGTTTAACTAATTTACATACCATTTGACTTTAGCGGTTCTATGGTGCATTACTAGTAACATGCAACTTTGGGATTACAACCAAAGCCAATAAAAGTGGACTCCAGTAATCTATTAATCAAAAGTGATATACATAAACAAGTGATAGCAAAAGCAAACAAGCATCTTGACAGATTAAAATATACATTTTTTAAAAAAAGGAATTAAATATCAGGAGCCCCTGCTTCCCAAGCAAAAGTCTTCAATGGTTTTTTCATACTACTTAATCTGTCTTCCCTATTTAGATGCAAAGAAAGTAAATTCCAAAACTGACATACCATAAACACTGGTGCTACTGATCATTTCTTGCTGGCAGCACAAAAAGCTGAATTGGATTTCTCACAAGCAGGAATTCCAAAGGTTGCTTTTCATTAAAGCCACTTTTCCTCTCAGCTATCAAATGTCACTGCCTTGAAACGTGGGCCCTTTCGTCAGGTATTCATTTAACCTACATGCATATAATTAAGGGGGAAAGCAACATCAACAAAAAGGGGATCTCAGATCACAGGAGAAGAAAGAAAGGAAAAAAAAGCACATGACCAGGAATGCAAGTCCATGTCAATTTCACTCACTCCCATTGAAACTAACAAGAGCTCGGGGGAGGATGGTAATAGGATCAGTGGATTGTATATACCATTAAATTATACATCTTTCTCTCCCGTTCCTTGCCAACAATACGCCCACCACGCTGTTCCCCCTCCAAGCTGATGTGCTTACATTTTTCTGCAACCGATCTTCTGACATTTTCACGGTCCCCCAGCCCCGAGATTGTAATTTAACCTCAACTTTTTGTGTGTGCAAGATTCTTATTTACACTTCTTATTTACTTAGAAGTTAGTTCCCGAAGAAAGTCTAGCCCCACCCTAAGGCTCCGCTTTCTTATTTTATTTCTGAACTAAAAAGATAGTAGTAAGTAAACCCAATATAGCGGAAAATGAGATTCTTGCAATCTCTAACTCTTAATCCTATACTATTGTTACAATGATTAAGCAGCAAAAATATGCGTTATAATGCTTCTGGGCTACTTTGTACAGAGAAATTAGACAGCAGGTTGGCGAACAGAAGAGAAACGAGTGCAAATTAAATATAATGTTTACGGCACAACTCGGAGATCTCTTTTTATTATAGGTCTTGGATTTATTTACATTCTTGACAAATAAAACAAAACCAAAATTTAAACAGATGGTAGAAAACTACGAGGCTCTTCTTACCTGAACGCGCGGAGCGAACACCCGATAGGTTAGCGTAGCATCGATCCGATGTGTTTGCTGATGAATGGAAGCTCGGGTTAAGTGAAGGTGCCTATGATTTGAAATCATTCCAAGTTTTTGAAGGGAAGACGGACTGCAGCCTCTGCCATGTTGGAATTTCAAACCCAAAACAGCTGCTTGGAAGGAGCCAGCATGCCAGAGGCTGGGCGCAGGCGCAGAGCGCCGCCGAGCCAAATTCAAATCACTTTCACACTAAGAGCCAAAGATCAGTTTTCAAAGGCGAGAGGGAGAAAGAGACGGAGGCCGCCGCGAGGGAGAGGAGACGGGAGGCAGCGGCGGGCGGCGGGCGGCGGAGGGCCGGGCCGCGGGAGCCCCGCGAGGGCGAGGGAGCGGCGGCGGGGCCCGCGGAGGTGCGGGCGGAGCGGGGAGGCGGGAGGCGCGCCCGAGATTCGCGGGCGGGGAGGCGCAATGGCCGCGCCGCGCCGGCCGGCCGGCCGCCCGGGTCATGTTACACGGCCGCGGCCGCGGCGGCCGCCCAGCCCCGCCGACGCGCCCGCGCGGCCCGGAGGGGGCCCCCGAGGTCATGGCTGCAAGCGCGGGGACGCGGGGCTCCCCTTGCCCGCGCGCAGGCGGCCCGGCCTGGGCGGAGGGGCGCGCCGCCTGGGGGGAAGGGGCCGCCCCCTCCCACGCGCGCCCCCCCCCCAGGACGGCTGCGGCCGGCCACCCCCACGGCGGCCCGCACCCGACGGGAGCCGGCCCCCCACCCCCCCCCAGCAACAGCCCGAAAATGACTTTATCTGCCAAGAAGACGCAACTTCGGGGGTAGAATCCGAATTGACCCAGGTCCCCTCCCCCGCCTCCTCGGGGGAAAAAATAGAATCCTAAGTGTCTCGGTGTGCGGGCCACTCTGGGGCTCCCCGGCTCCCCTCCCTACCTCCCCCAGGCGGCTCGGGCCGGGGAGGCAGCGCCTGGGGGCCCCGAGGCGGGCCGCCGCTGGGCTGCGGAGGAGCGGGGCTTCTGCTTTCCCAGCCCCCTTCTGGGGAGCAATCTGGGGACCCAGGAGTGGGAAGCGAGTAGGGGCTTTGTGGTGCCGGGAGCTGAGGAAGAATAAAATGTGCAGTTGAGTGTGTTGCTCGCATCCCAGGGAGCAATGCAGTCCTGATTGTCTGTTGCTGAGATAGCCTTTTGTTCGGAACATAAGGTTTAAGAAACACACACACGTTTTCTGGGGTCTCTTGTTAGATGTAAATGTGCTGCATCCAGACGCTTACTATGCAGTGTAAGCTCAGTTGGTTTACTAATCACCCCGCCCCACCCCCAAACAACCAGGGTCATTTGAATGGGAACCTCAGTCAGACTTCTAGGCTGCAAGTATTGCGTTCAACCTATTTCATTCTAGACTAGCCAACCATCCAACTGAGATAATAAAGCAAACAATAACATTTGATCATGATGTCTATGAGATAATGTGCCCGGCAAAGTTCTTTAGGAATTGTAATGAGAAAGAGAGTGAGTGGGGTAATAATTTCTCTTCGTTTTCATTAAATATGACTTTAATAGATAAATGGTAAGTTTATACTTGGGCCTGGCGGACACCCAGTCCTCTGTATTTCAACTAAGCTAGGAATGAAAGAGGCAAATTATATATTCGACCGGGAGCCCATCAAACTGCAAATGTTACCTTCGAAGGCTGGAACCCAGCACGTACTTGTTTAGGACAGACCCTCCTCATAAACGGTGTTCACATTTTCCCCGCTCCTCTGTTACAGATTTACTAGACTGAATTGCAGCTCTCCAGATGATGGAATGCACTTTTTAAAAAATACCAAATACATACTTTGAAATTAATTTCCTTCTTTTTGTGATTTGCTTACTTTGAATGAATAGCCATTGAATGCATTTAGCGAACACAATGAAAAAGAAAATAATATTTTAGTTAAATCTAGGCAGATGACAGAATTTAAAAGAGAAAAAAAGTGATTCAAAATCTTACCAAATATTTCTAAGGAATGAGATTTCTATTTGGAATGGATTTGACCTTTCTGTGCATTTTTTTTTTAAATCAAGCTTCAAAATAAAACAGAAGAACTTTATCCTAATGTAACAGAACACTAAAGCCCCTTTAGTTATATTTTACAAGATAGCTTTGAAAATGATATTATGAAAAGTTGCCCATTGGATTTCACCACGAAGAAATAAGTGTAAGGAAATACCTATGGGTCACTGCTAGTACAGATTAATTAAACAACCACTGTCAGAAACTTACAATTTCAGTTATTGCCCATTTGGAGAATGATGAGAAGTCCTCTGGACACACAGCAGATGCTCTGTGCAATTCAAGCAAAACTGCTCTGTCCTTGTTTGTTAAAAAAAGTTCAAAGCTCATCAACTTTTAACATTAAATTCCTTGTATTGAGTTTACAGTTCCTCAATGTAAACCAAAATACTGAACAAAATACCTATGATGGGATACCCACTGCCTGAAAAACAATGTATTTCAATTATAGATTTACAGCACTTCATTTTCAAAATCTAAAACAAAATAAGCTCTACTTTTAAAAGGGGCAGGGAAAAGTATGGTTGGCAGGAGTTTATTAATAGGTAAGTAGTACTTTTTTCAATTCCCTTTTATATCATTTGAAATACATATTATTAATTCATAATTCAACATGCAAATAAATATAATTGACTTTGGAATCAAAGAAAGGGAAACTATTCAAAAGAGCACTACATGTATTAGCACAGCATTTCAAAATTGTCCAAAATTATATATACTTCCTGGAAAAAAGGCTTACACAATCGAATATACATTACAGTATTTGCATGACTAATAGGATTCAGTGGAACTTGTCATCCCACTATTTCTAGGTGTTTTTATTTTTTTTAAGGTGGGGAGAGGGTATGGATAAAGGATGTTTCTCTGATAATTTTTTTGCCAAGGAAGATTAAAAGACTTTGTTTTTCAAAAAGATTCATTCTTTGTAGATTAGCACAATGTTTATGGTTTTTGTTTTACAAAAACTCTTTAATATTGCCACACAATTAAATTTTAACAGTCACCATATTATATCTACATTTGCTTAAAAAATTTTTATTCAAAAGAAATGTTTCTGTTTGTACTGATAGCTATCTTTATATTTTATGAAACTTTTCTTGTGATGACATGAAAATAAGAAATTGAATCTTTAAAGAAAGCTGACTGGCTAGTCAAGGAAATAGTTCAGTGAAAAAATGATTGGACTAATTTTTTTTTTCCCAGTGCATTAATCACATATATTGCTTCTTTCTTTCTTTCTTTCAATTTTTTTTTAATGTCGCAGGGACAAGTATAATGAATTTCTAATACACAGTCTATTCTGACCTGGACATTTTTAAGAAAATCAAAAGAAAAATAAACATGACTATTCTTTCTTCTTTCAGGAGGAGTGTGTGTGTGTGTGTGTGTGTGTGTGTGTGTGTGTGTGTGTGTGTGTGTGTGTGTGTGTTCCTCTCAAGAGGAAAGGGGAAGAATTATACTTCTTCCTGTTCTTATTTTCAATACACAAATAAGCAATAACAACCCAAATAAAGGGTAAGGAAGTAAGAAAATAATATTGAATGATCACAGATGACCATATTCTTGCCTGCCTTGGACTAAGGAGGATATGACCCGGATTGGGCACAGAGATGTGCTTTACCTCTGTGATGGAGGAGGAAAAGGAAAGGAAACGATAAGGGCAAAGAGGGTGACAAGATGCTTTAAAGAGAAAAACACGTTTGGGGGGCTGTTATGTGGGGTTTACATGAAATGTTAAACACAAGTCAATTTAATTTTTAAATATTTGCCTTTTAATTTCCATTTTAATAAACCCTTAAACTAGTAATATCTTCTTCCAAATTACTGTGTTTCAAAAAAACTCTCCAGGACTTAGTAGCTGTTTATTAAACCTAGATGTTGTTTTCATATTGTTCACAAAATCTAAAGTAGGTCTTACAATAATGCAATTTATTGATACAATATATTTTTTTGACGTTTCCATAGAATTACAGTTTAAGGATCTTCAATTATATTTCAATTCAACTAAGACTACTAAGAACTCCTTAAGTCCCCTGTCACCCCCCAAAATACAAGTGAAGACCTTGATCTCATTTTAGTAAAATTACTCAGTTTGCTAGAATTACACTTGAACACAGGTACTGTCACATGGCATTTGAGTGGTCCATACACCCCTCCATGCTCTAACCCTGCAGTGGGGATACAAGTGGAAAATTCTGTGATGGGTTCACTTAAGATGTTTTCTTGGTTATGCAAAAGTATTTTCTTCTAATAACCTGAGGATTATGTTTTTCCATTTACCTTTTAAATGCTGGTGTGTCCATGTATTTGCTGCAACCTCCGCCTGGTTTTGCCTGATTCTCGGTTTCATTGTGAAAGCAGATTCAGTACAGAACACTTCCTGTGATTACAAATGTTGTACTAAGAAGGCAGAGGATTTAAAGAAAACTGGCATCAACATTTTATGGATGGGGCTGGATAAATGTAGTTCAAAGTGAATGTTGAAAGTGACTCATAAAGGGGTTCTATCCAGAAGATCGGGGTTCTTTCATGAAGGAGAGGGGAGTTCTCCTGGCCTTTGTAGTCTCAAACTTTCTGCTCCAACACAGCAAGCTGCTTATAGTCTGCAAACACCATGCGTTTTTGCCCCTTTGCGCCTTCTTTTCATTGTGCCCTGTTTCCCCTCCTTCTGTGGGCTGCCTCCCTTATGACCCTCAGTATCACCTCCTCCAAGGACACTGTCCGTCCTAGGGGCGCCTCAGTATCTTTCCCCCAGGCTCTCATCAGACTCCATCTCTCTCTCTCTCTCTCTCTCTCTCTCTCCACCTTCACATCATTTTAAAAGTGTCTTTGTTTTTACCCTTCTGTTAGATTGTAAACTTCATGAGGGCAAGCCATCATCCTAACCACCATTCCTGTTTTTGTTGCCCCCTCTCCAACTCACCCCGTGCTTAAAATAGTGACCATCCTGAATGAACGTTGACTGAGGACATCAGTGAGTTGACGTATAGAGAAATAGACATGCACAAAGGCAGCGTGGAAGGAAATTACAAGAGCCCTTTGAGGGAAACAGCGTATAATCTAGTTCGGTTGAGACTTTGCTCTACACAGGCAGGAAAGGGGACGGGGGGATGGAAAGGAGAACTGGGAATCCAGGGCAGAGGAATTTCATTTAGTCCTTGGATGTGAGGTTTGCATTTCAGTGGTCGGGTAACAGAAAGCTCTGGAGGGTTTTTAAGCGAGAGATTTATGTGGTCTTAGCCTGGCTTTAAGAAGATAGAGCTAATAGAACTGGAAATGGGGAGCCCAGCTGGGAAGTTACTGCAATGGGCTATCATTTTCTGGTCCCTCAAACTGTCAGTCCTTCTGCTACGGTTTGTTGATATGCTGCTTCTTTGCTTTTTTTATAGATGGTCTATTTGTATTGATTGCTCAATACTGCATGTTCATTTTGTAATATTACAAAATGTCAGTGTGTTTAAAGGCATTCATTTAATGTCAGAGATATAAAAAAGGGACAATACCTTGGAATGGAGTGTTTTCTTTTCCTCAAACTGAATATAGTCTTTCTTGTCATTTTTTCACCTCCCCTTCTCCTACGCTATGACCACTTTACAATCAGTTCTGCCCAGACTGTTTTTTAGCTTAGCAGGTATTTCATTTTCTAGAGAAAAAATGTCTGACAGAAAGTAAAGTTTCTCCCTGGAGTATGTTCAAGCCAGTAAAATAAGCAAACTGAATTTGTTTTTTATATACTGAATAAAAATATAGATGCACATTTCCTTCATTGAAAGTATATTAAAGTTTCCTAAACAGGATCTTTAATTCATTTAAAACGGCATTAGGTTAG